CGCCGCCCCGGGGCCGGGGGCCAGCGTGGGCGCTCACCCCGTCGCTCAGCCAGCCGCTCACGCTGAGGTCGTCTCCAACCTTTTGGCTGTAGCGGGTCTTGAGCAGCGCGTCGATGACCAGCACGGAGCTGGCCTTGAGCACGAAGGACGCGAACAGGTTCACGTGGATGTAGTTTCGGGTGCAGTGCAGCCTCCTGCGGGGACAGGGAGTCGGCGCCCGCCCACCTGCCCGAGCCCTGCCCTCCGCGGCCCTTCCTGTTGCAGGCCAGGGGCGTACCTGAGGCCCAGCAGGATGACCAGGGCCAGGATCAGCGCCCCCAGCGAGAGGCAGTAGCCCACCGTGTACATCACCTGGAAGCTGCCGTACAGCTTGGCCACCTCCTTCTGCGGATCACAGTGCGGGTCAGGCAGGGCTGGGCGGGGTGGCTCGCCTGGCCCCACCTGGCCTTGGCTGCGGGGGCCGTGGGCTGACCTGGACCACGATCTCCTCGTTGTCCATCTGGCACTGGGAGGCATTTCTCCACGGCTGCCCCCGGGGCCCACGCACCCACTGCCCGTCGGGCCCACACCTCTTGTAGACGAAACGGTGCTGAACTGTGTGTGTGGGGAGGAGGCTCCGGTCAGCACCCCACCGGAGGCTGGACCCCTCGGCCGCCACCCCGAATGCCTTCCACGGTTACCTTTGTGGTACCAAGGCAGGTACCAGGGGCAGGAGATGTTGGCCGTGGTGTTGGGAGGGGTGTCGGGCCAGCAGGAGTACTTGTCAAAGGTTCTGTTACAGACCAGCTCTGCGGAGGGAGCAGTGTGGGGGGCCCTCAGCAGGGCCCACACAGCCCCTGCCGTCCCCTCGCGGGGTCCCCTGAGAACTGTCCTCCGCTCCCCCTGCCGAGTCTCTCTGACCATCCCACCCCCAGCCCAGCTTGGTCTGGAGCTCCATCCGGGCCCAGCCACCCCCCCGGGACACTGCATCTCCAGCTTGCCCCAAACCTACCTGGGGTTCTCCCCTCTTCCCAGTTCCCTTCTTAAAGGGCCTCCCTCTCTGGAGGCTGAACCCCAATTTTGTTGGCACCCTTCCTGGGCCCAACACCAACTCTGCGGTCACCCCCTGCTCCCCTTGCACTGGGTTGGCCCCTTCACTGCCAGGACAATGACTGGCCCTCCCAGGCAGCTCCCCCTGCTCCAGTCTCTGCACCTATGACCCCCCCACCCCTGCCTGAGCCCTCTGCACAATGGCCCATCTCCCCCACCCCAGGCCTTGTGAGGCCTGCCCACCTCTCTCAGTGGCCTCCCTCATGCACTGTCTGCCCCCTGGACTTCAGGCCCTGGGGGCAAAGACAATGTCTGCAGGCCCCTACAGGGGGCACCCAGCAGCAGGGGGGCATGGAGCACCCCAGTTCTGGGGCAAGTCTACCATTTCTTTTATTTCCCGCTTGTACGGCCTTGGGCAAGTCATGGCTTCTCCATGACTCAGTTTCCTCGTGTGTATAGGGCCTTCCCATAATAAGATCAGGAAATGCTACTTGGCCAATCACTGGACCGGGGCAGAAGGCTGGGGGGCTCACCAGTGGGGGGTGGCAGCAGGCTCAGGTTGTGGAGACACTGGTCCCCATAGAGCTTCCACTTCTCGAAGAGGAAGTCCATCACCTGTGCGGAGGGGGCCTGGGGCTGGGCACAGGGGTGGGTAGGCAGGAGCAAGCGCGTCAGCAATGGAAGGGGGCTGGGCAGGCCCCGG